ATGTAAACTTCCTCACTTATTTCTCCATTCAAGAATGCGTTATGAACATCAAGCTGGTGCAACTCCCAGTTTCTTGCTGCAGCCACTGCAAGCAATGTACGTACACTCACCATCTTTGCCACTGGTGCATAAGTCTCACTGTAATCTTCTCCGGCAATCTGATAATTACCTGCAATCACCAATCTTGCCTTATACCGTTCCACCGTTCCATCAGAACGATATTTTATTTTAAACACCCACTTGCTTAGAAGAGCACGCTTCCCTGGAGGTAAATCCATGAGGCACCATGTATGGTTGTCTTCTAAGGCTGTGATTTCAGCCCTCATGGCTTCCACCCATCGGGAGTCTCTCACAGCATCTTGAAATGTACGTGGTTCATGACCTGTGTCAATAGCTGCAACAAAATCTTGATGTTGCTTAGAAAAGTTAGTGAGGCTAAGATAATTGCACATAGGATACCGAGTACCTGAGGTGACATTGGTTTGAGTAGGGAGAGATGAAGGAGTGTGTGTTTCAGCTACTTGACATGCATAGTCCTGCAAATAAGATGGCTGCTTCCTGGTACGGTGCTGTCGTGTGACTGTTTGACGCAGATTTGCTTCTAGCAACTGCTGTTGGGTTGATGCATCACTAGAACTCGAACTTCTTTCTAGTAAGGAGGACTCCCTAGCGCCAACTTTGTTAGTTGGTGTTGCTTCCAGCGAAACACTCCCCCTATCGTCCAGAGGAACACATGATCCACTAGGCGTTGGGCTGTCATTTGATGCATCAGAACCGTCATGGACAATTTGGCCTTCGTCAAAGTAATTTGGCTCTGTAGGCACACGAGAATTTGGTGCAGAAACAGATTGTACTGGAGCTTCGCGAAAAGGAAAAATATTTTCAAAAAATTTTACATCCCTGGACACAAAGCTTTGTTGCGCTTCTATATCAAACAATCTCCAACCTTTCTGCCCTATTGCATATCTGATGAAAACACATCGTCGCGAACGTGGAGCAAACTTGTCAGTTGGTTTCGGTCTTGTATTAGCAAATGACAGACAACCGAACGTGCGCAAGTATGTATAATCTGGTTTAACTCCATGCAATTCTTCATGTGGTGACCTGCCTTGGAGAACTCTTGTAGGTGCTTTATTAATTATATGAACAGCAGCAAGAATACTCTCCTCCCAAAAATCAACAGGGAGATTTGCGTGAAACAGTAAGGCACGTGATACATTAATGATGTGTCTGTGCCTCCTTTCGACTCTCCCATTCTGTTCAGGTGTATAAACACAAGTTGTTTGTTGCAAAATAACTTTTTCATTCAAGAGTTTCACCATGTTATTAGATTTGAACTCAGTACCATTATCAGACCTTATTATTTTTACGGTTTTACCAAATTGGTTCAGAACCATAGCAAGAAATTTGCACATCCAATCATAAGTTTCACTTTTATCGGCCAACATAAAAACCCATACATGCCTACTATAGTCATCCACCACAGTTAAGAAATAACGTGCACCAGAAGAAGAAGAATTTTGATAAGGACCCCAAGTGTCACAATGGATTAAATCAAAAAATTCTTTGCTGCGAGAAAAACTTATAGGAAACATTGATCTAGTTTGCTTGGCACGATGACAAACTTCACATGCCTTACATACTACTTTATTTTGCAAAGCTTTAAATTCTGGAACCAGAGATAAGATATCATAGGATGCATGGCCTAGCCTGTTGTGCCACAAGTCAATTGACTCTCCTGCTTGAACTGTCAAAGCTGAAGCACATGAAGGCTGAAACACATAGACTCCTTCATGAAGTTCACCCAAACCAATCTCCCTCTTCAGCACTTGGTCCTGCAAAATTCACTTTTTATCAGTAAATGTAACGCTACTGCTCTTGGAGTGAAGCAATTGGGAAATAGAGATGAGATTGCAGCGTAAGTTAGGCACATATAAAACATTTGACAAGCTGAAGTTTGTATTAAACACCATCGAGCCTTGTTTTGCAGCATAAGTAATAGAATCATTTGGTAGAGTCACAGATAGAGGGGGAATAGGTGTAATGTCAGCTAATAAAGCCAAAGTGCCTGTCATATGACGTGAGGCCCCACTATCAATGAGCCATTGAGAATGAATACGCTTACCAGATAATTTTGCATGTGACTGAGACTGGTCTACCAATGTTAACAGTTTGTTCATAATTTCTGGGGTCAAAACGGAGTGTGCAGCAACTTGAGAAGAGGCAGAATGAGAGACGTCTGGAGGAAGAGAGTTAGCAGCAACTGGGTGTGAGGCATCCATTGCAAACGTCGCATGAGCATGCATATAACGTCCTGCCGAACGTCCTCCCCTTCCTCGTCCGCGACCAGCACTCCTGTTTGGTGGAAAACCATGAACGTTCCAGCATTTGGAAGGGTCGTGATTGGTCCTGCCACAATGAGGGCAAGGTACTCTGTCTTGTGGTTTGTTAGGAACCATCCGCTGCTGCATGGACGTGTCTGACTGCTTCATGGAATCGGTTTGGGCTGAGTATCCCACTACCTGACTCCTCTCATCTTGAACGCGAGAAATACTACGATGGGTCTCCTCTTGAGTGACAATTGCGTACACTTTGTTGACACTAGGAAGAGGAGAAGTGTTGAGGATATGGGATCTCAGATTGCCAAATGTAGATTCATCCAGCCCCATCAAAAATTGATAAACGCGATCATGCTCTTGCTCCTCCTCGATTGCTTTGGCAATGGCACACTTATCACCACAATCGCAAGACTTGCGAGTTTTGCTGCCTTCCAGATCGTCCCATACAGCCCTGAGTTTGGTGTAATAATCACCAACGCTATCTCTATGTTGCTTGATATTGGCTAAACTGGATTTCAGTTGATACTGTCTTGGAAAGTTTTGCACTGAATACATTTCCTCTAGTCATTCCATAAGTCCTTGACGTCATCAAAGCACTTGATGAATGGTTGAAGTTTTGCATCAATGGTGTTGTGAATCCAACCATTGAGCATCGAATTGAACATCTCCCAGGCGCGCCACTCTTCGGCATCATCCTCTCCTGGTTTCTTGACTGAACCGATCACAAAACCCAATTTGTTTTTCGCCTTCAATGCGTTTTTCATGAGCTTGGCCCAGTTGTCATTGTTGGCCTCACCACGCAGCATGACAGTCGTTAACAAGAGACCTGGACTGTCGGATCCAGCCAAGTAAAATAGCGAACTAGGATCAGTTGTTTTGGACTTGCTGCCACCACCTGGTGCCATGTTAAATGAACCAGCTTTCGCACTGAAAGGGAATGCGGAAACGTGTATACTAGGATTGCTCTGATACCAAGATAAACTTGATATTTCAACTGTGTTTCTATCTCATTCATTGGTAGCCTTCAAATAGGCGAACATACAATAAATGGTAACAACGTAACAGACTAAAACAAATAAATACTCTATCTAAACAGTCCTACGGTTACAAAGAATTCAAACCTACGGTTACAAAGAATTGAATTCAAACCTACGGTTACAAAGAATTCAAACAATATACGTTACAAATAATTCAAACCTACAGTTACAAAGAATTGAATTCAAACAATATACTGTTACATATAATCTCCAACATATATAGTCCCTCATTGGTTGTATGTGCAACTAATGTGGTCTTTATAAGATCTTGGCCACTCCCACCCTTTGAGCTAGCTTTTGGGGTGGTGTATCCCAAGGTTCTTTACAGTTACATTCAAACAACAGCACCAACAAAAGTGTTACATGTAATGAAATAGAACTGAGTGAAAATTTATGACATCATTGTTTTAGGAAAAATAATTTGATGTTGCTGGAAAATATTTTCAAGTAAAAATTTGTTCCTGCACTATTTAAGTTTTAAAGTTGAAAATAAATGAACAATATGTAAATATGCATATTAAAGTTAGCTACCATTAAAGGGAGCGAATCAGAGCAGTGGTAAAATTGTTTCTTGAGTAAATACCATTTTTGGTCTCTAACAAAAAACACGGTCCTCACTTTAGTCATCACTTTAGTCCCTTACAAAAATAAATTAGTCAGTTAGTCCCTAACAAATTCAAAGTGGACCCATTTAGTTGAAATCGTGGTCCCTCACAAATTCAAAAAAGACCCATATTAGTCCCTTAAAAGGACTAAAATGGGTCCACTTTGAATTTGTTAAGGACTAACTGACTAATTTATTTTTGTTAGGGACTAAAGTGGAGACCGTGTTTTTTGTTAGGGATCCAAAATGGTATTTACTCTTGTTTCTTCATGACTGAAAGGTCATGAGTTCGAATCCAGGAAACAACCTCTTTATAATATGCAATGGTAAGGCTGCGTACAAGGATTTCCTCCACCCACACTCGCTAGTCGGGTTTAACTGATAGTGGTTTAAAAAAAAAAAGTCAGCTACCATTTAAAATATGTATAGAATTAAGGGTTTTAAAATAACAAACACTTTTTCCTAGAATTAAAGGAGTTAACTGTGAACTAGTTATACAAAAACTAAATTAAAAGCTAACAGTTTGGAAGGAAAAAAGTTATTGTACTAATGTTACTCAACATTCGACATAGCCTTGACATGCAATCGATACATGGAATTAGAAATGATGAAATTAATTGAAAAGACATGTAACATATGCACTCTTGATACCTCTGTTTCCAATCAGTAAACCCATAAGCCTTTCTTGTTGAGCTGTAAAATCAATATTTTTTTAACAAGTGGTGTCCCAAAGTAAAGCAAAATGGATTGTTCCAAAATTGCCATTTCCCATTAATGTAAGCATTCGAGGAAAAAAAACTCAAATAGAAGACGCAGAATAATCTTAAGGGGACGTTCAGTTGAGAATTTTTTGAATACTAGAAAAATGTAATTAATAAGGAAATGGTTAGAAAGTGAGTTAGGTAAGAAAGTTAAAAAAATGTTGTTTGTTTGAATGAAATTTTACTGGGAAAATTGAGTTAAATATATTGAGTCCATATTTGGTTGAGATGGCTATTTTGATGGGAAAATATGACAAAATTACAAAATAACCCTTATATATAAATATTCTTCTGTCATCTCAACTCTGTTTAGATCTGATTCCCACAGTCTAATCTGATCTGTGACATTTTCAGGCACAGATGGTATCCTCTCTGCAACTCGAGCACGAGCATTCTGCTGAAGAAAACTGATTATCTGATCTGCTGTAATGCCATTTTCAAAAGCGTTATACAAGCTTTCTTTTGTAATAGCTCCAACAATAAGATTTGGAAGTGTATACTCTATCCTTGAGAACAGCCGCAATATCTCACAATGTAATTTTGAAGATGAGTATGCATAAACTCTAAAATTTGTTTCCACAACCACAAATCCCTGTTTTCTAGATGTTAAATCAGACAAGCTCACTGAAAGATTGGTTGCCAATTTCGTTGGTATGAACGAACTTTCTTTCCTTCCCTGTTGAAGTTTGACCAGTCCAAGGTCTGCTAGGTCCTTAATTATGTTCCTTTGAAAATTAGTCACTGTGTTTATATTATATGCCTCCCCAATGACATGAAAACTAAGCTCCAACATGAATGAGATCAAGTCAGCTGCATCAACACCTCTCGCGCGAGGGTATTTTGGTTTGCAAATGGATGCCATTTTTAACATTTCGCCGGCTAACTATAGAATACCACCATCTACTTGTCTTTCATAACAGTGATTTATAGTTGCTTTTTACAAGCATTTCTGGATTCCTATGTAAATATAAGAGATGGGGAAATATTTCAAAACCTCTACCAAACGTGGATGTCACACTTTCCCAAAGTGAGATGCATAAATAAATGTTTGAAAATCCTCAACCAAACACCCCCTAAAAAAGAAATTTCAGAGAAATAAGTACGTAATATAGAAACAAAGAAATGAAATTTACGGTAAAATTCTAGAATGCAAAAGGAAAGCAGCACAAGTAAGTGGTGTGTGAGGAGAGGAAGCCCTCAACTCACAGAAAGTATAATTTGTTCTTGGCATTCTCCTATCATTTCCTAGATAAGTCTTTTGTTTAAAGTGAAGCACCAACTCTCATCTCACAATTTCTAAATCGATTCCTGCCAACATGCAATATGTAAACTTTACCTAATAGTTAATACCCTCAACTAATATTCTTAGTGCAGAAGTACTTTCCAATAACTCTAAAGTTTCAGTAGATACCAATTGTCCATGAATTTCACTGACACGTCAATATCTGTTCACTAACTATAAACGCACTTCCACTCTTGGCACCAACAATGTACACCTAGTGCACAAGACTCCCAGACTAGACTTTTTTAAGGGTAGATGTGAGGGTTGATTATACGCAGTCTTAATCTAGCGACTAGCATTTTTGCAAAGAGACTTTCTCTCAGACTCGAATCCGTGACCTTACAGTTACAAAGCAGGAACCTTATAGCTACTCCAAGGTTCACCCTCTTGCCACCAAGAATGTGCCAATTGATAATATTTTAAAAAGGGAAACCTTTTATATTAAACTTTTTTTGTCAGCCAGGCTTCATCTACTCATGGGATCAAGAGAATTAACTACACACAAGCACAAATCAACTAAACCTTGTGTAATCAATTACATGTGAGTATACCAACCTAGGTCCACAACACGTACCAAGTAAAGAAATTTTAATTTCTCCTAGGAAGTACCCTCCACGACTCAATCTCGGTAATAATCCCTTGCACAACCTGCCAAACATGTTCCAGCACCATTCAAAATCATTTCTAGACACTCACTCAAATCCATGCCAAAAAAAAAATTGATACCATACTAAACTGATAAAGATATATATTTTTCCCCTTTGATCGATGAATTCCAAGGTCTTTTCAGAGAGCAGCACTAGAGATGTTGTAAATCTCACATGGAATTATTTAAATTTATCTATTTATCTCACATTTAAATCTCCTCCAATTAAGACAGATAAAGATTACTAAATAATTCTCTTTCAATACCACAGACTCTCCCCCAAATAAAAACCTTCTTCAAAACAGGAAAACATGTTAAAAACTAGGTAAAGAATATCATATCACAATCTAGCTGCATAACACTAAGCAAAGTTTCAATGAACATTCAGACTAAAAGAAAAAGTCCTTCATACCTCTATTGATATTGACACTGCTGCCAAGGTTGTTGTTTCCCTCTAATGAATCAATGATGCTCATATGCTTCCGCAGAAATGCATGCAAATGTAACTCAAGCTCCCTGGAAGATACCAAGAATGATTCCAAACATTTTCTAATGAATTCTTCGGTTAGTAGAGTATTTCTCCCATATTCTGGCACCTTAGCTTCACATGAAGGAAGAGAAAGAATCAGGAAATAATAGATAATACATAAATAATAGATATTGTAGAAAGAAACCAACATTGATTCTTTCCACACTAAACACAAACTTAAATAAAGATCAAAACCAATACGCCAACCCCGAGGCCTTGTGACCTGCCAATTTGTATACAAAGAAATAATAGATAGAAAAATTCTTTTAAAAAAAAGTTCATAGATAAAATTGTGATCTTTTGGCTTAGATAAACTAGTCAAATAAATGTGAGGAAATGACCCAAACATGCATCAAAAGTGTTCAAACCATGACCTAAACATGTTCCGAATAGATTAAACACCAATCAATTCATTTATACGAATGCAGAACTCGGAATAAAAAAATAAAAAATAAAAATCAAACAATATTTCCAGTCATGCAATGAATTCAAAATGGGATCTGAAACCCTTAGAGTGAGAAACAATATTTTCGAGATGGCGAGAAGAGTGAGAAACCCGTGGGATAGTACAACAGTAACATCGAAGATTTATCCGTGAGAATAAACGAAGGAAATACTAATAGCTCATTTTTGTTGTTCTCAGTGTCTATCTTAAAACATAAAATACTAAGGGATATGTTATTCTGTCTACTTTTGTTTTGCCTAGAGTTACTTACTCCTTTCAATACTGTTTCGATGATAATCACATCCCATGATAGATATTTGCAAAATAAAATATACCCTTTTTTTCTTTTCTTTCTCCTCATTTTCTACCACACATTTTCTCTCTCCTCCCCTTTCTCTATTCTTAGGCTACCAATACCGAAAATTTCGACAACAAATATCACTTCCTTCAAAACGAAAAACAAATGCTCGATCGAATAAGAACGAAAAATAGAATACGATCCACGACCATCAATTAAAAATTCTCACTTTTATATACTTTCTTATAAAAGGGGAGCACGATTCTTTTTGGCTAGAAGGGTTAATTTACCAACTTGTTTTTCTCTGCAAAGATAATAAGCGATTCTTCCCGATGAAACTTTAAAAAAAAAATTGCTCTGACTTTTAAACTTTTTTATTTTTTATCCAACTTTGCCCTGGTTGTTGACTCATTTTGTGTCAATTTGATGTTTTGAATTTATGTGATCGACAGGGGAGGAGAGAGAAAAGGGAGGAGAGAGAAAGGGTGTGGTAGGAAGTGAGGAAAAAGAAAGGGAAAAAAGGATATATTTTATTTTGTAAATATCTACCGTCGGATGAGATTGTAATCGAACGAGATTTAAAAGGGCAGGCAAAGGTAGGTAAAATAAGAGTACACAAAATAACATATCTCCTCATTTAATATGATTATTTTTTTCTGATAAAATCAAATTTAATACACACACACACACAAATATATATATATATATATATATATATATATATATATATATATATATATATATATATATATATATAGGGGAGGGATATTTTGACTCCAGAGTAAGACTTACAAGTTTTACTCCTCATCTCAACCGTTGATTTCCGTCCATCTAACGGTTATCTATACCAATTAATTAATTATTAATTTTTAATAAATAATACCCGTTAGATGAACGGAAATCAATGGTTGAGATGAGGAGTAAGACTTGTAAGTCTTACTCTAGAGTCAAATGATCCCTCCCCATATATATATATGGGCTTATCGTTTCTCAAGTTGCTTGAGATAATTTTATCTCTGGCTACTAAATCATAACCGTACAAAGATGGATCAAAGGTGATAAAGGAAGATAGAGAAAAAATGAATCATAACCATTCAAAGATGAATAAATTAATATAAGGAAATAAATAAATAAACTTATTTATATAAACTTATCTCAAGTTACTTGAGAAATGTTTTTCCCTATATATATATATATATATATATATATATATATATATATATATATATATATATATATATAGGGCTTATCATTTCTTAAGCTGCTTGAGATAATTTTATCTCCGGCTACTAAATCATAACCGTATAAAGATGGATCAATGGTGATAAAGGAAGAGAGAGAAAAAGAGAATAAAGGGTGAATCAATTAATATAAGAAAATAAATAAATAAAACGACGTAGTTTTGAGGTGGCCGGAGATAAACTTATCTCAAGTTCCCGGAGAAATATTTTTTTCATATATATATATATAACCATTTTTATGCCTCATTTAATATGATCATATAATGTGATAAAATCTCATTCATCCCTAATATTTTAATATTTGTTAAGACAATAGAGGTAAGAGAATCATAAAACTAGCTTCTTAAAATTTTGGGTTAAGATATGGTGTATTCTGATTCCTTACGCTACAAATGTATGTGTTCATCAAAGAATGACTAAAGAGTCAGAATTTATGTTAGGGTCAAGCAGTGGCGGATCCATAAAATTTTCTTTATGTGTGCATATTTAGTCCGAATATTTAGTGGAGGGGGTTGGGGGGCAGTGCCGCCAATTTTATTTTTAAACAAAGTATTAAATGCATTAAAAAATAAAAAGAATATAAACAAAAAGTGATTTATATATATTACCAAATTTTTTATCATGTTAAGAAAAAGACAAGACAAATTCATTAAAAAATGTGTTGTAATTGTAACACCCCGTGTTAACGCGGTTTGTTAACATGTCATCGTATTAAGCCACGCTTAATTTAAAAATGCGGAATATTTTTTTCTTTTCAATTATGACGTCATTATACTTAGCCAAGTTGATTACTTAACCATTTTCATAAAAACATCGCCTGTATATAATTGCAAAAGACAACTAACTGAAATACCTCATAATATAAATAACAGTGAGTATCTAAAATCATGGAACTACAACACGTAGTCCGGACACAATCCTGATACATTATTACAACTCGAATCTAAACAAGACATAGACAGATCAATGCGGCATGGACAATCCCCATGCTCACCAATTAAGGCAACAAAGCCAACAAAGTCTCAACAACAACAACATAATCAAAGAAGCTAATAACAGAATAGCAACAGGCATATCCAGCATCCAATCATAATCAGCATATAAACAGCAATATCAGCTAAGCTTCGACCTCCTGCCGCTAGAGGTCTCAATCCCCGCATTACCTGAACCTGAAATGGTGCCCCAAACGTGGGGTGAGATCTCTAAAAAGAAATCTCAGTAAGACAAGGGGTCCTCAAGGATCTTCCACCCCAAGCTCACTTACATGTGCAATATAAGTTCAAAAGCCATTTAACAATATAAGTTCCAAAATAGTGCAATGCAACAGATAATCATGTCATGTGTGTTTATACTATTCTACTGATCAGAGAAGTGCAGGAATACGTCTATTACCCACACAGTATCAGCCCATGCTGTATTCG